ATTAGCTGGGGGACACACCATCTTACTGAAGGTTTTTACTGAGCAGAAATATCCTCAGCTAGTATAAATCAGTATGCTTCCATTGACGTCAAAGCCTCTGCAGCAATCTGCACTGGCTGGGGAAGCAGTCTTCTGTGGCTAAGAGTGCTTTTCCCCAATCCGGACCTGCTGCTTTAAGAATTTTAGGAAGAACAGAAAAATGCCTCATGGTCTTGTGATAATTGCTTGTTACTGTCGGAGAAAATATTACACACTGCGTGCCTCAGCACAGGCTGCCAGAACAGAAAGACACCTTCATTTGTGAGAATTATACCTGCGCACTTTGGACATTATTCAGTTTTACTGGGCTGTATTTACTTTAACTGGTTTTATTTATTTTCTTTCCGTACAAGAATTTACTGCATACACATAATAATTTCTCTCATCTTTATTATTGGATTTGCTTTATCAACTGATCTCACTCAAATTTGTTTTGGTTATAACTGAGCTGTTACTTTTTACATATAAACACTGAAATGTAGGAATTGCCATTCCAGGCAAGACCAGCTGTCCGTCTGCTCCAGCATCCCACCTCTGGCCTCAAGGCAAGGCCCTGAGGTACAAAATAACCTGCCTGGGGGGGAGCGCTGCCTCCCCAGTCTTGAGGTTTCTAGTTGCTTTATACACTGAAATGTGAGGCTTTACGCTTCTCATTAAGAAAACTTTGTCAACTGAAGTAACGGAACATGTTCTTGTTACCTATAAAAAGGCCTGGTCCCTCTTTAATCCTGCTAAGCTCCAGGCTTTTCTCATTACTTTGTGACAGTGAATGCCACAGTTTAATCATGTTTCACCTAAAAAAAAAGTTAAATCTGTGTTCAGTGTCATCAACTGCTCCCTTACGTTGGTATTGCAAGAAAAGGCGAATGGCAGCATCCAATTGACTTTTGCTGCAATAATCTGTGACCCATTCTTCCCTCAGCTAAGCCATTCAAATCTTTTCCATCTGTCTTCATCTGGAAGTCCACCCATGCCTCTTATCATTTTTACCAGCTATTTCAACTCTTATTTTCACTCTATCCTCATTTGATCTCTGTCCTAACTGTAGGGCAGTTGTGTTCCTCAGGGCACTTCACAGTCCTGATCTCCCAGTTATCAGAAGGATTTCTGGAGAATATTGTGGCTTTTTTTCTGCCTGCATACCTACTTTTCCATTAGAAATCCAAGCACTGGATGGTGCTTAAAAAATCTAAGCAAAGGATGCTGCACAACTGGCCAATAACAGGTCTTCTCCAGTCAAGACACAGCCATCGGTACCTCAGAACCAACAAGGTCTCACACAACCCAGAGTTAGACAACAAGAACTAAACACAATATTTCAGGGAAGGGCATGTCACTGTCATATGTCACAGTTGTTCTGCTGACACTTTGCAGGACACATTCTGCTTGTCTGTCAGTACAGCATTACAAAGCCAAAATCCTTAATTATTTTCCTAGACACACTGACATTTAGATTTTTTAGAGACCCTGATATTTTTTTTTAAAAGTAGCAGTTTGTTCTCAATTATGAGCAGAGCTGTAAGGAAACACACTTCCAATCTCAACTAAATTGTTGTTTGTTTATTCTTCAAATGAGCATGTGTCAGGGAGAGGAGCAGGACTAGTGCAAAGTCTTTGTGTCATTAGTTTTAAATGAACTAGCCTGATCTCCTCTGGTTGGGAGGATGGAAGGCATCTCACTAGATGTGACCTTTTACCTGTATCTTGTGAGACATGGCCTCATACCTGAAATTGAGCAAAACTGAATGTAGATTTGTGTTGTCATCTTGTCATCTTCACAGCATGGTGACTTTCTCTTAGATATATTTAGCAAGCGTACAGAGATTGGAGTGAATAAGCTAATGATATGACACGTTCCATATGACACATATGACCCAGATATAAAGCAAAAAATTGCCATTACAATGACATCAGTGTGAAAGCAGAAAGAAAATGGGAAGTTTAAGACCTTTAAGACTACCTAGGCAACATAAAATCCATTAAATGACTTGTAGCAGTTGGGGAAAAAAAAAACCAACCCAAAATCACCATGCAAAATAAAAGATAAGTGCATGGCAGAATTACAGCCCTTTAGCCCATACAGTATTTCTGTATATTTTTTTTTATTTGTAACCATGTAAGAGAGAATAAATGTAAATATTTCCTTCCTTTTGATAAAAAAGAAAAATAGTGTCTTAGTATTGCCTTAAATTTCTAAACAACTTTTCATCATGAAAGATCCCCAACTGACAGGGGAATTGAAATGCAATATCATACTTCAGAATACCATACTTCATATTTCTGGTAGCATTGTTCATTTATTTGAAACAAAAACTTCTTAAAGCTCTGCCTTTTCTATGTTCAATGTAAGTTTAACATTTTTTGGAGCTCAACAGATAAAAAAACCCAGTTAAAGCTGATCCCTTTTCTAGTCTTGGTAACTAAACCCAAGTCCAGAGGAAATCTGCTGTTTGCTCAAACTAATTGCATCTGTTGGTGTATCTTGAAGGAAAGACATGGCAAGGTTTCCTCCTTCTTTTGCAGAAGACATAGTGGTTGCACAGCAGAGGTTCTGCTATATTCCCAGTAGAGCTGTTTAAAATTACGATTCACTTATGCACCTTGTCTTAGAGTGTTCCCTGCCTTCTCTAAAATGTAGCTGTCTTCCCCTGAAGCAAATGCTGACCATAATATCAAAAAGGAGAGTATTCTTGAGTGCCAGTCAGGGTGAGCACCTCAGTTTAATTCAACCTGCGGCCGGGAGGGAGGAAGATTTCCTCCCCTGCTGCAGAAGGGCTTTGGCGAGGCAGGGAGAGGCTGGCCCGGTGGGTAGGGAGGTGCACAGGTGAGCAGGCACCTCGCAGCCTCCCCAGCAGTTCCCTGGCCTCCAGCAGCCTGGAGAGGAGGGCATGCACACCCGCACCTGCAGCAAAGCCGTCTCTGGTGAAGACATTTATGAGGGTTATGGCTAATGTCAGCTGACAGGTACAAAGGACTCTTCCTTTAGCAGTGGCAAGGGCTGAATCATTAGGTCTCTGTTAGGGACGTAGGTCTCCTCGCACAAGAAATGGTCTCGAGCTGGTTTTTGAACAAGTGTAATTTTTCAGAAGTTCATTTTCTCACTCTGTCATGGGCCTCGAAATCTATTGATATTTAGCAGCATTTCAGCAAAAACAATGTTTTCGAGACTGCATCTCTTCTTTTCTCTGTTTTCTCTTTATTTTCCAATACTGTCAGCTCACTCCTCTAAATTGCCAACCTGTGCTCTATGAGTGTCTCAAGTTTTGTTTTAACCAGTATTAATACAGACAGGCTGTCAGCAGCCTCATTGTGTAAATACTCCATTAGTTCCCTAAGGGAGCCATCTTGCTTTGAGCTACTTAGCGCTTGGTCTACTGGATGGCGGCTGTAAGGAGGCCGGTGTCCCTGAGGAACAAGGTTAAACAAAACCCCACAGCTCATCTCGTCTTCGTTTTTCCCCTCTTGCCTTAATGAATGCAGAGTGCTTTTGTTGACAGCTGAGAAATGGATCCCTTACATAAAAAAGCAGCAGTTTCTATCACTGATGGCCATAAGGCTGAGTTTGTCTGGGAGAGGGCTGCAGAAATAGTTATTATGGATAATGGACCTTAGTTTGCATGTCAGAAGTGTACAGTGTCAGCAGGCTTCGACCATATCATGCCTTCTCAGCATCTCCCCCAGTCGAATGGCGAAGCAGAAGCAGCTGTCAAGATTGCCAAGAAAATATATTGAAAAGGCAAACTGAAGAGATAAACACACACAGCCTGTGCTGCTGGACTGGAGCAGCACACCAGCAGTAGGTACTAGCAGCCTAGTGCTACATTTCATGTCACACTGTTGTGCAAGCTCTCTGTTGCCTGCAGCAAATAAACTCTCAAAGCCGTAATAGTGGAGAAAGTGACAGGGTGAATTAAAGAGCTGCAACAGCAAGCCAGTAATGGAAGCACAGAAATGCTCATTGGACACCAGAAAGGACATCCAGTAAGGCTACAGCAAGCATCCAATGACAAAAAAGATGTCCAGGACCTCTCTGAAAAGTGTAGCATTATGGTCATAAAGTAGCATCCATGCAGCATTACATAGGAAGCCCTAGTGAGCCATCATCTGCTTGGGATGGTCCAGGTGAATCTTTCCGTATGAGTGCTGTTAAAAAGAAATCAGGCACTGACTCTGAGGTTATCACATGCCTATACGTGATCCTTGGGAACTGCATCTACTACTGCACTAGTAGGACAGAAATCTGTGGGAGAAGTGCTGGGATATTCCTTAGATGCTTCAGAAAGAGCAGAGTTTATTAAAGCTATTTGATTTCTATTGCAAGATAGCAGAAGTTGTGACAGAGTTCTATATTCAGGTCTAATTAAAAATAGATGCACTGTATGTGACTCCAAAAATCATGTATGTGGATGTATAAATATATGTATATATACATGTATGTAAATATATGTCTGTATATGTGTATATATGTGTAAAAATAGATATAGAATCATAGAATTGTTTGAGTTGGAAAGGACCTTCACAGATCATCTAGTCCAACCTTCCTGCCATGGGCAGGGACATGTTTCACTAGATCAGAGCCCCATCCGACCTGACCTTGAATGTTTCCAGGGATGGGACAGCCACAACTTCTCTGGGCAACCTGTTCCAGTGTTTCACCACCCTCGTTGTAAAAAATTTCTTCCTTATATCTAATCTTAACCTACCTTCTTTCAGTTTAAAACTGTTATGCTTTGTCCTATCACTACAGGCCCTGGTAAAAAGTCTGATCCCATCTTTCTTATAAGCCCCCTGTAAGCATTGAAAGGCCGCAATAAAATCTCTCTGGAGCCTTCTCTTCTCTGGGCTGAACAACCTCAACTCTCTCAGCCTTTCTTCATAGGAGAGGTGTTCCAACCTTCTGACCACTTTCATGGCCCCCCTGGACCCGCGCTCCAACAGGTCCATGTCTCTCCTATGCTGAGGATTCCAGAGCTGGACGCAGTACTCCAGGTGGGCTCTGACCAGTGCAGAGTAGAGGGGGAGAATCACCTCACTTGACCTGCCTGCCACGCTGCTTTTGATGCAGCCCAGGATACGGTTGGTTTTCTGAGCTGCGAGAGCACATTGCCGGGTCGTGTCCAATTTTTCATCTTCCAATATTCCCAAGTCCTTCTCCGCACGGCTGCTCTCAGTCCGTTCTCAATCCATATGTGTGTGTATCCATATACATAGGATACCTTGGGGAAAGCAAGAAAAGGGGTTGCAGTCTCTGATTTTGATCCTTTTCCACACTTCATTTATTAACTGTTTGTTGGAAGGGAAATCAGAAAACAGCAGTCTTCACACTTGGATGAATGCCATGACCACCAAGCCACACAATTATTTTCTTGTCCTTAATTACTGGCTTTGTCTTACTGTATGTGTTGTCATAAGAAGTTTGCTGAGTAAGCACCTACCTTTGCCCTTGGGCATCATGTGATAACAACAAGAAATTTCCATCACCTAAGAAAAGGCATTTAATATTTATGAGGATATCGTTAGCATTAGCATCTCTGTGTCAGTCTATTTGGTTTATTTTTTGAAGTTCTGTTCAGTCCCAAACACAAATGTTCCCCTTCTACCATACTATATCAATTCCCAGAGCTGAGTTTGAGATTTGACAACAGTCAGGTAGATGATTTTTTGAAGTTCCTAAAACACACAAAAAAAGCAGAAGCAAACCAAGTGCAGCACCCAGAGACCTTCACTGGAAGTGTCTCACTTGCCAGCCACTTTCTCTGGGGGAGGTCAAGCCTCACTGACAGTGCTGGGATCTGCCCAGAGCTGGGCACATAAATGTCAAATCCAGGGAGGTTTATAGTGGGATGGTAACGACCTCCAGGAAGGCACGCTTTTCCTGGAGGCAACAGGATCCTGTGCATGTGGGTGCCTACAAGCATGATCTCAGGCATTTTTGAATATGCATAACAACTTACAATTATTTTTGATTGTCAGAGGAGACAGTGTTAACTCCTGCTGGTGATGAGCAGCCCTCTCTGGAGTGTCTCAATCCCTTCCCTCCTCTCACCCCAAACAAGTTGTAATGCTCCCGGGCTACTTTTAGCCAATCATTGTAGTGAATTAAAGGAAATCCATTCAGGAAACAACCATTAACTGATCTGTTTTGCTTAAAACTCAGAAGGTTCAGTTCCACTACCATCACAGTTAGCAGCAGTAGAAAAATTTCAAGAAAGGGCAGGGCCTTGAGTAAGTTGTATGTGCTTTGCTTCAGTTCTCTAGCCAAATAAAAATATATTAAAAATTGTTTAAGAATTAGCTGAAATTGAAAAGATATTTTTTCATCAGAATGAAGAATTAGGGGTATTATTTCTAATGGAACAAAACATCCTGCTCCAACCCAAAGGTAAAATGCTGCTGTAGAACATGCTGGTGCTGAAAGCAAAGGTGGTGTCAAATTAGAGTGATAAAATGGGATGAGGAAAAGGTGGCACAGGTACTTTTACCTAAAAGCCTTTGAAAGACTGTTCTGACTGCAAACCTGTAGCATACTCCAGAGAGGACTGAGAAGGGTTTTCCACCTTTTCTTTTGATGCCTCTCTACTTTCTCATTGCAAACTGGTCCCTGGCACAGAGAACAGAGCTCAGGCATCCCATGAATGACTTCCCAATCAAGCAAGGGAGTTATTTACTTGCTCCCTCTCTTATTGAAAATTAAGTATTCAGTGAAAAAAGTGGAACAGCTTTAACAGGAGAAATTGCATATGTCCCATCTCCATATTGCTGAGTGGGAGTTCAGCCTTGCTGTTACTTGGACCAGGATGGAGCTGAATGTAGCTCTCCTTCCTTCCTGATGAGCATCTACTCAGCATGCAACATGCGTAGCAGGGCCAGGCTCACCCAGTTAGTTCTGTGGGAGATATTCAATTTTTGCACCCTACTTAAACATGCAGTGAACCAGAGAGAAAAAGTCTGATGACCCGGGCTCAGATCCTTGGTGCAATCAATCAAGTTAATGAGTGGATTTGAACCTGATTCTCACACATACTGTGTGCTAAAAGTGAGGCTAATGGTAAACAGATTGCTATCAATGATCTTGTAAATGTAGACCTGATTTTTTTTTCACCTGAAACAATTTAGTGAGTTTGTAAATAATTCTGTGAAGGCCAACATTGAATTTTTCAATGCAGTCAAATATTTCTACCTTAAAATTTCCAACCTCTTGTCTTGAGAATGTGACCCAGGCTGTCTAGAACTTCACAGATCAATTGCTGAATTTCCATGCAGAAGCAGCGTGAATAGCCATAAGCCCTTGTGCGACGTGATCCAAGCATGATGTTTCTGTCAATAAGCTGCAGAAAGCAAGCCCAGGTTTTTATTCTTAAAGAGGAGAAGTGTGCTTCTTAAGGCAATGAAATATATGAGACCTCCATTTCTATTGCTCTTCACTAACCTCCAGGTCCAAACCAAGCAATACTTCAAAGGTTCAGTCAGCAGTGTGACCTGGACCTGTGGTCTCATAGGCAGGACATAAAACTGATCAGGAATTTCAGCCACTGGTGCAAAGATTTTGCAATATAGTAGGGAAATCGTTAACTGAATCTAGTATTGTATTCATTCCAGTACTAGCAGTAGGGTTTCACTACATTTAATCTGGAGTTGGAGTGATGACACTGTATTTTAGGACGGCCACACATGTTGCTTTTTAATACCCTCTAGTCATTAAATTGTATTTTAGAGAGAGATTATCCTTCATTCCCATCTTTAAGTATTTTACTGTAGTTATTTCAAAGTTTTAAGGGTCAACAGGTGAGTGTCAGCCCTCAAAATCATTCACAGGTCGCTGTGTATTCATCACACTTTTAGCTGAAAAATACATCAGTGAAAATACTGCAAATGTATCTAGAGACCACTTACCATGACTGTGAGAGTCACCAGTGATCACTGGAGCAGAAATTAGGAAGGAATCACACCAACAGCAAGGCCAACATAGGTAACATATTTAGAAGAGAGTTTGATACATCTTTGCCTGTTTCAAAGTGATGAACTACCATAGATCCCTTTTATAATCAAGTAACCATGCTATTTTAAAACACTGTGACATCTGAGATTTGAATGCAGTTCAGAATCTCTATGTGATACCAAAGACTGAGTTTAACATTGCCATTAAAAAGGTTTTAGGGGAAGGCTATATGGGTCATGCAATACCTCTCAGGAGTTTTTAGATTCACTGTTACATGTCTGTTTGGGGAGGAGGTGAAACTGAAAAGCTGAATTGGAAATCTGATCCTCTAAACACTGTTCATTTTGTTAGTAAATACTGACTTCTCCCCCACCAGTAAACCAGTTTGAAAAAGACAATTTAAAAGTAAAAATTTAATTCTGTGTTTCTCAGCTGAAGATACCACTAATATAGGCATGTGTTGTGCTATTTCATGGATTCATTTTCATTCTCACCTTTTTAAGTTATTCCTCAAATACTTTAAAGATGCAAGCATTTGGGAAGGCAGTGTAGAAAATGTGTACAAGTTGGAGTTTTTTTCTTTCTTAATGATAAATTAAGGCATGTCTCCAACTGAAACACTGTATTTTTTCTTTGGAGAACTACTGAGAGTACTTCATCTGTGAAAATGTGACAAATCTGCTAGATGGAAGCATTCACTAAATGCCTAGAGCATAATCTCATCCTCTAAAAATGGAGGTACTTGAGTATTTAAGGTTGTCCGTCTCCAAGGGATCTTAGGTTGTGGAAGGTGTTGGAGACACTCTGTCCAGGGAATGGAGAAGCTCCTCCATGCAGCCGTGAGTGGGTCGAGCATGGGCAGCGTGGATACAGTGCCGCACAGGGGTTTCTGCTGGCCAACACCCTGTGGTCCTCTTTTAAACATGGTCACCTCTAGTGTCTGCAAGCTACTCCAACCTTTCTCTGCAAAGTTTCCTGTCAACCGTGTCAACTGCGGGGTAGTTTCTAGCCAGCTGTGAACCAGTTTGACAACACCGACTTGTATTTAGGTATATTAAGAATACATGTCTGTGTCTCTATAAGCTATGTAAGGTTTTCATTTGAAAATGCAGGAATCATGAAAATTTACATCGAGATAAACCCAGGTAGCCCATACTGGCTTCAGAAATAAGGAGAATAAAATGTACACCTGAACTCTTCTCAAGCCATCAGCATCATGTTGATGAGCTCACTCAACCAAGGGTATCCTCTATGTGCTTAAAGAGGAAACAGATTTTAAATGGTCAAAATGTAAACAAAGAACACTTTATGTGGTAAATGCAAAGTAGAATAAATTTTTTTAAAATAATAGGAGAGAAGTACTGGATTGAACAAGCAGTAAATTATTTATTCCCTTTGGACAACTAAACTACTCTGAAAAAGAAAAGCTTTTATAAGAATTGATTGTGTACTAGCACATTATGACTGGAGCAATACCACACTGTACTAGTTCTTCAGATTTTTTATTTCTGTAATATTTTTATGTAATAGCCAAAACAATAAATAAAACCCAGAAATTTCTTTTTACTCTTTGTGTGGTGAGATAATGCAGCACCCTTGTCAGGCAAGAAACTATGCAGCCTGTCATTTATTCTTATTATTGGCTAATATAGTATCTGATGTGGGGATGTTAGTTCGTGAGAAATCTAGGCAGGAAATAACACGAAAGGCTGTTAATCCCCATTAAGAAGAATAACAGTGTCATGAGAAATACGAGGACACTGTTCCATTATGGGTGTTAAATGATGGGGAATGCGCCATCCCAAGAAGCTCTGGCTAACGTCCCTTCTATCTGTGGGTTTCCGTGAAAGTGCATTTATGACCCTTTGCACAACATTTGTCATCATTAACATAACCTTTTGAAGGTTTCCCTAGTTAGCTCCTCTCTCTCTCCCCCTTTCTAACACCTGGCTTGGGCCGCGATGTGTCTGGTCCTTGCCATGGCAGGCGGGTGGAGGACAGGAGAGATCGGTGTTTGCACAGATCCAGTGCAAACACCGGG